CATGTACATGGCGCTGACGTTGTCGCAGTAGACAATGGTGGCGCGTGGCGGGGGATGACGCAGCTCGATGAGTAATTGCCGGAGCCAGCACGACTCGGCGACAGCGTTGGCGATCCCTCTGTACTCAGCCTCCGCACTGGACTGAGACACGGTGTTCTGGCGCTTTGAGGACCAGCTGACGAGGTTGGCGCCGAGGAAAACCGCAAAGCCCGAGGTGGACTTGCGGGTGTCGGGGCAACTGGCCCAATCCGCGTCGGAGTACGCAGTGAGATCTCCGGAAGTCGATCGGTGGAAGTGCAGCCCGAAGTGAGCCGTACCACGAACGTAGCAGAGGATCCGCTTCACCAGCTGGAAGTGACTGTCCTGAGGATCATGCATGAATAGACAACACTGCTGCACGGCGTAGGACAAGTCGGGTCGGGTGAGAGTAAGATACTGCAATGCTCCAGCAAGACTCCGGTAGAGAGATGGGTTGTGGAAGGCAGGGCCGTCAGTGGCGGAAAGCTTGGCGGTGGTGTCGACGGGAGTGGACACGGGTTTGCAATTTAGCATACCCGCGCGGTCGAGGATCTCGAGTGCATACTGCTCCTGGGAGAGCTGGAGACCGCTAGTGGTGTGATGGACGTTAATGCCCAAGAAGTGATGGAGAGGACCCATGTCTGTCATGGCAAACTCGCGATGAAGCGAGTTGATGATCGACCAGAGGAAGGTGGGAGTGCTGGCAGTGAGAATGATATCGTCGACGTAGAGAAGAAGATATGCAGTGGCTGGTCCGCGGTGTATGGAGAAAAGTGATGAATCGGCCTTGGAGGCGTGGAACCCAAGAGAGAGCAGGAAGGAGGTGAACCGAGCAAACCAAGCATGGGGCGCCTGCTTCAACCCGTAGAGCGACCGGTTGAGACAACACACGTCCCCAGGTCGCGTGGAGTCGACGAAGCCGGCAGGCTGCGTGTTGTACACCGTCTCGGCGAGATGCCCATGGAGGAAGGCATTCTTGACGTCGAGCTGGTGAATAGGCCACGAGCTGCCGGTGGCGAGGCTGAGGACGACCCGAATCGTGGCTGGCTTGACCACGGGACTAAACGTCTCCTCGTAGTCCACGCCAACCTACTGTGTGAAGCCGCGGAGCACCCACCGTGCCTTGTACCGTGCTAGCGAGCCATCCGGATGGAACTTGTGGTGAAAGATCCATTTGCCGCTCACCACGTTCGCACCTGCAGGTCGGGAAACCAACGACCAAGTGTCATTCCGCAACAATGCATTATATTCTTCTAGCATGGCATTGGCCCAGTTCGGATCCTTAAGCGCTGCGCGGTAGGACAGGGGAATCGGGCTAATGGCGGTAGAACTAGAGAGAGCGAACTTGGGGTTGGGAAAGACAAAGCCGGATTTGCCCCGAGTGTGCATGGTGTGTTGGTTCTGTGGCAGAGCGACGGGTACGGCGCGAGGCGGAAGCGGGCGCTGTGGTGGCGAGGAGGGAGGCATAGGGGCAGAGGAGGATGGAGAGATGCTGCCCGCCGGTGCAGAGGCGGGTGGAGAGCTGGGCCCTGCTGCATGCGGTGGGGTGGGAACGCGAGGGGAGGGTGTTGCATGGCATGGTGGGGAGGCTGCATGGTGGGGAGTGGGCGCTGCATGGCGGGATGGCTCCGGATTGGCCTGCATGGCTGGTTGCGGCGCGCGGGCCACGGGCGGGGAAGAGGGCACTGGCCGGTTGGGTGGAGCGGATCTGGTGGGGGCCGCGTACCAGGTAGGTGGGAGTGTGGGATGGGCGAGGATGGGCGGGGGATCCGGTGCGGTAGGTGTCGCTGGGGTTGGTTGTGAGGCAGTCTCAGCGAAGGGAAATCTACTCTCGTCAAAAGTGACATGCCGGGAGAGATAAACGCGACGGGAGCGAAGGTCCATGCAGTGGTACCCCTTGTGCTCAAGGGGGTAACCAAGGAGGACGCATGGTGTGGACCGGGCATCGAGCTTGTGGGGCGCAAGGTGTGTGAGATTGGGAAAACAGAGGCAACCAAATACACGAAGGTGGTCGTAGGTGGGGTGGCTGCCGTGGAGGAGGTAGTAGGGCGTGTTGTTGTTCATGGCGGACGAGGGGCGCCGGTTGATGAGGTGATTTGCGGTGTGGAGGGCCTTAACCCAATACTCGGGTGGCATATGGGCATGGATGAGCAAGGTGCGCAGAACGTCGTTGGTGGTGCGGAGAAGGCGTTTGGCTTTGCCGTTCTGGGGAGATGTATATGGGCAGGAGAGTCGGAAGATGGCACCGTGGCGAGAGAAGTGGTCGCGGAGGGGGAAGGAGAGAAACTCGCCGCCATTATCACACTGCACACAGTTAACAGAGAGGTTATATTGAGTGTGAACGTAGGAGAAGAAGCGTAGTAGGGTGGGCGCGGTGTCAGATTTTTGGCGGAGGGGAAACACCCAAGAGTAATGAGTAAAATCATTAAGCACAACAAGATAGTATTGAAAACCGGAAAAGCTACACATGGGTGAGGTCCACAAATCACAATGAATAATTTGGAAAGGAGCAGTGGTTTGCGAAGTAGAAGAAGAAAATGGTAATCGTGGTTGTTTGCCTATGTGACAAGATTCACACACCGAAGAACCTTGCACCTTATTACATGAATCTAAAAAGTTGTTTGCTAAAAAGGAAAGGGAAGCACGACTGGGATGGCCTAGCCGCAGGTGCCATATGTCGCCGGAGCTCGAAACAGAGAGAGCCGTGGAGCCGCCATTATGTGGAAGGAACGGATATAGGTCGCCGGAGCTACTGGACCTCATGATAACCTTCCCCGTTGCCATGTCCTTCATAGAGAAGCCAAAGGGGTCAAAAGAGACAATACACCAATTATCGATAGTAAAGCGCCGAACTGAAATAAGATTCTTAATTATGGAGGGAGAGATTAGTATGTGATTAAGGTTGAATGGCGGGAGAGAGGTAGAGCCGGTAGCAACTACAGGAATCGACGAACCATTGCCAACAGTAATACTAGAAGGATAATGCACTGAGGAGGAAAGATTGGTGAGGTTACCGGAGGAGTTGGCAACGTGGGAGCTGGCGCCTGTATCCATGAACCACTCACCGTTGGAAGGCGGCGGCTGCAACTGGAGGTTGGCGAAGTGCGTCGACAGGGCTTGCTGCTGATCCCAGGTTGGTGCAGAGGGAGGCGGACCGGCAGCCACGGGGTAGGCCTGGTGGTGAGCAACGGGACGTGGCCCGAGCACGCCGGCCGCGTTGGCCGGAGCCCACGGCGCACGCCACTGCTGTGGCATCGGAGCCGGCGAGCCCCACGGGGCGAAATAGCCCAGCCAGGGCTGCTGCCCGCCGGCGCCGCGCCCGGTGCTGGAGCTCGACGAGGCGCCTGGGGAGCTGCGGCCACAGCCGCAACCACGGCTGCGCCCGCCGCGCTGACGGTCGCCGGAGGGGCTCCCAGTGGTGGGCCCCTTGTCCTTGTCCTGCGGCGACGGGGGAGGCTGGCGATCCGCGGACGACGAGCCACCGGCAGAGGACGAGCCGCCGGAGGAGCCGCCAGCGTGGTCGATGGTGAGGGCGGATGCCCCGACGGCGCGCTCCCGCTCGCTGAGGCCGATCTCCTCGAGGAGCAGGCGCGAATGAGCCTGCACGAACGTGGGGAAGGGCTGCTGCATGGGAAGGAGCGTAGCCATGACGTGGAACCGCCGGCTCAGGCCGCGGACGAGCTGCAGCGTGAGGGAGCGGTCTGTGACCGGCTCGCCCACGTCGGCCATGGCGTTGGCCAGCTGTTGGAGACGGCGGCAGTACTGGGCCACCGTCATGTCCCCTTGCACCGTCGCACGGAACTCGGCGCCGATGTGGATGGCGCGGCCGGCGGCGTTGTCGCGGAAGAAGACCTCCAGCTGGGTCCAGAGGTGGTACGCCGTGCTCTCCGGCGACTGGATCACGTCGTAGAGTTCAGCGGATATAGTGGCGTATATCCAAAGAACGATCGTGATGTCGTCGTTGCGCCAAACCGGATCCTCATGGAGCGGGTCGGCCTCCTCGAGCACATGCTCCTCGACGTGGTACTTGCAGAGGACGAACCAGAAGAGATGGCGCCACTTCGAGTAGTTGTTGTCGTCCAGACTCACCTTGAAGGGGATGAGAGACCCGATGTTAATATGATGCATCGAAGGAGCGGGGATCGTGGGCACCTGGATGGGAGGAGGAGCAATGGCGAGGGCGTCGGCGTGGGGGCGCACGGCGCGGAGGGGAGGCACCGCCGGGATGGCACCAGGGCAGCGGAGAAGCCGGGCGTTAGGGGAGGCGGGCACCGGCGCGACACGAGGAGGCGGCGCAGGGTTGGCGTCGGCGGCCGGTGCAGCCAGCTGGGGGCCGGGGGCGACGGGAGGGAGGATGAAGGGCGCGTCGGCGTCCCCGAAGGAGCGAGTGCGGCGGAGCGGACGTCGGAATCTCATGGCGGAAGCGTGGAGAGGAACGAGCGACGTCTGATACCAAGTTAGACGAGTGAACAGAGTGTTTAAATACATGCGGAGAGGTACACCCGATAAGATCAGTTACAACAATATAGTGACTCGTGAGAGAAGGAGGGGATCACGACGTGGATGGAGTCGTGGGCGCGCATGCATGCGTGGGCGCAGTCCCTCCCGAGCGATCCGTGCGCGTGGGCGCCGTCCTTCCCGAGCGCTCTGGGCGAGGCCGTTGTCCTCCTGACAACCGAGGCCCAGTGGCAGATGTGTTTACAGTCCGAGTGATTTCGCTATTGCGGTCCTATTTTTTTAAGGCGCCCCACAAGAAAGTAACCAGGCCTGGTATTATTCCTGCCCGGCCTGGCCCGGCCCGGAACTTCGCGATCCCATCTGACTTTCTTTGTCGCTCCATTCGTGGTCACCACCACCACCACACCCGTTTCCCCGGAAACCCCACAGAACCCTGCAACCACCTCCGCGCGCCGCCGCTCGCCATGGCTGCCGCCGCCGCCAGGGCAGGCGGCCGCCCGTGGCGCGTGATCCCGCGGCCGGTCATGGAGACCGTCCTCCACAACCACGCCCTCCACCCGCGCGTGCCGCAGCCGCTGCTCCTCCACGGCCCCCGGGGCGTCGGCAAGTCCACGCTCCTCCTCAACCGCCTCCTCCCTCAGTGGTCCGAGCCCCCGCACTACGCCGCCTTCGTCGACTTCCTCCACCCCTCCCCCAGTTCCCCTGCTCATGCGCCCTGGTCTCTCCTCGCCGACACGCCCCCCTCCCTGCCCTCTCTCCGCCTCCGGCTCGAGTCCGCGCTGGAGGAACTCACCCGCGCCGCAGTACTCCGAGGTGCCGTCGGTTCCAAGGACGTGCTCGCCGCGCTCTCGCGGTCCCACGGCCTCCACACCGTGCTCTCTCGCCTCGCGGGCCCTGCCTCCCGGCGCGGCCAGGGCACTAACTCGGTTCCGGTGCTCTGGGCAAGGGCTGTCCTAGCTGCAACCTCCTCGGCCCGTGGTGACGACCCCACCTTCCGCATTGGCGAGGGGGAGGCAACGAACTGCTCCATGGAGGAGAGGGCGTACATGCAGGAGGCCATGGCGGCGCTGCGTGTGGCCAAGGAAGTTCTCGGGATGCAAGAGGGATGGAGGAAGGAGGCGGTGCGGGAGATGAATAGGACAGGCCGGTTCTCCCGTCCACTGGCCAATTCGGCCACAGACTGGCCATGCCTCTTGCTGGATGTGTTGTCAGGCGCAGCCGAGGAGGATTTTTTCCAGGTATAATTTTGTGTGACTTCAGTTGGTGCGAGGGTTCATGAGGACAATGTGAGGCAGTGTGCCAGTGATGACATTGTTGATGTGCAGCCAAAGCTGGTGCTGAACAACGTTGATGCCCTGAGGAAGGCGACATGCGAGGACGATACAATGGTGCCCGCAGCAGTGTACCATGACAGCTTCATTTGGAGGGTGATAGCACTCGGTGCTAATGAACAGTGCTTACCAGTCATCATGTCCACCTCAGATGGGTAAGTGTCTGCCTGTATGTTTCTGCATGCTATGTTTGATGAATGTTGCATTACTTGAATGAACAGAATGCATAGAGACTAAATGAATGCTCAAAGACTTGCAAGTTGCAACAAGATTAAGAAATTTGTATTGCCTTAGCATACGGTTCTGACCTACTTTGTTGGTTTGTTGTACTATCCACAATACAGATGCACAATTTATCTGTTGATTCAAATGCTAAGAACAGTCTCCATGTAAATTGATAAAATTAATTTTCCTTTTGAAACCATTGCAGATACTATTCTTCCCAAGCATTCGTCGATTTTGGTTTTCCTAATATCTTCATTTCTCGTGAGGTATGCTTAGTTTACTTTTGGACTGTTGTGCTTTTTCCTCGTTTGCCTAAAGTCATGATTACTTTATACCACAGACGTTTGGTTGGACACCACAAGAAGCTAAGCTGCATATGGTTTCTGAGTTCTTCAGTGAACAGGAGGTAGTAAGATTTTATACTTGCTAATTCCGTTTCTTTTCTCCCTTGTGCAAACTGCGTGCATAATTTCCTTCTGATGTTTATTGAAGTTATAGTGGAAAGTCGTTGATGAGCTTCTTGGACCAAACCCACGACAATTATGTGAGATATATATGCTAAAGCAAAAGGCGAATGGCCCAGAGTAAGTAGCATTACTGCTTTTATCAATTAATTCTATAAACTGTCGCTTACAACGGAAGTGTTCGAAGTCTTTAGTCCTCGAGCCTTATTATTTTCAAAAATAACAGTCCCTCTGTTCTTAAATCCATGTCATTTCAGACATGGGCAATCTCTAACATCCAACTTTGACTGTTACTTCTCATCCCACACAGATATCTTAGTAAGAAACTGATAAACGCTAATATTATAAAATGACGAATCTAATAGTACTAATTTTGCGTGTCAAAACTGAATATTTTCTTTATATATCATCAGTCAAAATTAAAAAAGTGTGATTGCAGACATCATCTATTTCCTCATGTTGGTAGTAATCTTCAGCAGGTTAATAGTTTGCAGTTAAGTCTATTGAGTGGCAGAGTTCCATCATATTTTAAGGATTCCAAACATAGTATGTTAAGAGCATCAACCTCAGTCTGTTTGGCACTGCCATGCGTTCATACTTCATGTTACTGCTATTGTTGTTTAATATCCATTTGATTGCAGGGTTTTGCATGACACAAACATTGAGGAAATTATTGACACATACCTGGCACACTTGCAAGTAAGTAAATGTTTTAATCACAGCTGAGGCACCTACACTGTATGAGATGTCATTCTCCTCATCCTGGAAAGCTTTAGTTATTTCTACTTCGCGGATCTGCTCTTTTATTGAAAGTGTGTACTTTTGCATTCAATATCGAAACTAGGAGAAAGCAGCCAATATAAGAGGTAAACGAGCATGACCTCTGTTCCATTTCTGCTCACCAGGTATCTGTTGTGAATCCCGCAATGCAAACAGCATTAAGTATGGTGCAGAAGTTTGCTTCTGATGTACGCGAGGGTAAAGTACCAGAGAACAGATTGTCTTTTGGCGCGCCTTGGAGACATCCACCTCGGGCTGACAATCCTGACATGTGCTACAAGTGGGCAAAGATTCAACTGATGGATTTTGTCCAGTCTTATGTAAACACAGAATTTGGGGTAACTATTACTTTCCTTCTACTACCCAGGCAATTGCATTTCTACAGTAATAAAAATATGGATGTCACATAATAGGGGAAGTGACAAAGTTAGATTGAAATGATAAGATAGTATATCTTCAAAGTTCAAAAGCTCTAGGCGAAGTTCTCATTTTACATCATGTATTTTGTGGATTTCCGGAGTTTTAGAGTTCTTATTTGTGTGTTTTGTAGTTGAATTACCTAGCAGATGATAGCCTGGAAATATTGGATGATCCTGCAGCAGTCGCCATGATGGAGGTATTTCGATCATTTTGCATCAGATACTCAATAGTAGAATCTGTGACAGTTAAACATTTTTAGGTTTGGCCATCGGAATAGAAAACATCAGCAACATCTACAAAGCTAAATTGATATTGCCAGATCTAGCATCAAATACAAATATATTTTTATAATGCATACATTTGAATCAACAATTTTAGATGGTCAAAATGCCACCGTGGAAGCCATGTCAATGTCTAAAACTACCTACATTGCAAACTCTGATGGAGTATTGGCCTGATGGTAGGATGCTTATATGTTTGATGTTTGCTAGGTTGGCTTACTTTATCAACAGAGAGATCCATCCTTTGTGCGACCAATCACACGTGGGATTCAGCGTTGTCTTGCTAGATGGTGCGTTCTTGTACTTATGTGTGGTATTGTAAATGTTTTGTTTCTTATGGAACTTTTTTGTGGTTATGCGAAGGCTTGTTCAGCAGAGACTAGAGTTGACCCTTCAAGAATCAATATCATTCTCATGGCAACGTGTAATTCGTGGGCGAAGCTATCGACACTTGATGAAGGAAGTCGGCTACAAGTAACAAGGTATATAAGAAGTTCCCAAATATCCATTAATTCGTTTGAACTTGAAGTGGGGATCTTACACTTCATTTGTTATACAGTTTATGCCAAGAAAAAACAGGTTAATTTCATAATGTGGAACTGACGTGTGATTTTGATGGACTTATATAATATTCATATAAGAACGTTTGAAGCATATATGATTTTGCGATCACTCACATGCACATGTAAGTTTTTTCACCTGTCATAACCATTCGCTATTTTCTGTTCAACCAGTTAGTAACCCAGTATGTATGGATCATTATAGATTTGAATAATAATTCCGTATGTTCAGCTTTCCTCTAATCGGTTACCTCAATCTGTAGCATTACACCATCTGGTGTGAAAATTCACAGCCGTATATAGTATGCCACATCAAGCATTTTCCATTAAATGAAGCAAAGTGTAATTAGCAAACAACAGTCGTTTCTTTTGAAGAGGACCTCACTTTCAAACCACAAACTCTTGTCAAAGAGAACGACCGTCCCTGTAGTTTGTGTTCCTGTAACCTGGTGATTGTTTGGCCATAATGTTTGCATCCAAATGTGTCCTACCTTGTGCTCACTTGATGTCCTATTTAATTTTATTTATTTGCTAGAAGCTGCTAAATTGTGCTGCATATCAAAAATTTCCCTGCCCTTTTCTTCATCTTCAATAAGCCTCTCTCTAATTCCCTTGCCCTTGAGCATCTCATCATGGCCTCACCTTCCTCATTTTTGTGTTTGTTCAAACCCCAAAACTGAAATCACTAGCTTCTCTTCTCCGTGCATTCCATTTGGCCATCGCCTGCCTGTCGTGGCCTTGAATATTTTCATGCCGTGATTGATTTCCCTCTCTTCTTCTTGCACCTAGGTTGTGTGTGCGTGTGTGTTTCTCTCCAATACTCGGGAAACTCTGTCTGATCCAAATTAAATTGTTTTAGAATCTGTGCCAGTGGATCATTTTTAGGTTTAGCCTTCCATCGTTTAATATATGTACAATTATTTCTATACCAGGCAACATATTTTTGTAGAAACTAATAGTCTAAGTGTCACCTTGGACTTGGATACATGTCAGAATCCAAAAAACTTACATTTGGGATCATAGGGAGTTCTACTTTAATTAGATTGCATATGCTGCCAAATGCGTGATCATAGGGATCATAAGTTTGCAGCGTTAATTTGCCAATGCCGTCCAAGTGTGATGTCGACGATGAAGCCAATTTTTAGGCCCATCATTTCAACTAGCTCCGTAGATCCTTAAGTTTGGAAGCTTGTGGTGTTCCAATCAGAATGTGGTCCTGCTAAGCCAATGGAGAGCATCCAACTGTAAGTATAAGTTTGTGCCGATTTAGCATTCTCATGCTGTTCGCTTTCTACTCAGCTTGATAGGCAGATACAGTAAGGAACATTTGAATACATTGGATGGGGATCCAACGATATTAGACATTTCAAGTAGGAAATTGGGCTTTGATGTCTTCATGGATCAGTAGTATGGTGCAGAGTTAGGAATGCCTTTTCTTTCTCGAATGTGAATATTTGGAAGAAGACAGTGGTTCAGCTTCATCAACGAGTATTAACATCCCACTAGCATTTTTTTCTTCTAATATCCTCATTTGCATGCCACATACTATTCTCTAACGATTGATGTTTCATTCAGTATTACCTAGTTGCATATTCCACAAACGAAATGGTGGAGGGTGCGTTTGGTTTGAGTCTTTGAGCCCAAGTTTGACATATCAAAATTTTGTTTGCCCATGGGTTGGCTTATGCTGGCAAGAACAAATGCACTAGAGGCAAAAGGAGCATTGGCATGTTTAAAGTTTGGCATCCATCCAAAGTTCCAAACAAAGACCAATTTTTTGGGCATGACTGAAAAATTGGTAGGGTATATGTTGGCCACAATTAAACATACCCAAATTGTCTGTAGACAAAACATAATAACCATTGTGTGCTCTTAAAAGAGAAATAAAAGTGCATTCGTTTGCATACTTCAGCTCTTGTCCTGGAAATTTGCATATCATTAGAGCGATACTTTGTTGCTCAGGCTGTTCAACCTTTCCTGCCGTTTGTTTTTCAGGACGGCTGAGGAATTTTGCAGGTCGCCGGAGGTGGACATCTATTTTAACTAGGAGATCAATCATAGTGGCACTGTGGTTCTTTTAGGTTTATATTCATACATCGTTCTGGATGAAGATTGCCGGCTTTCCATGTCACGAACTGGGAATCTCGCCCAAGTGGGACCGGAAGTCGACACGAAACCCGCTCTGTCTTGGACGTACGATGGCAATAGCAAAAGATAGCACTATTACAATTTTTGGGGGGCATGTTTCTGTAACTAAATATATGATCGAATTCTGCGCCAGTTCATGATCTGACTTGCTCATACGCGCATGATACTACTTTCACTCATAGCGTAGTGGAGTAGAATGAGCATGTGCGCTGTGTCGTGTCATGTGGAACTGGCTGGTCTGCTGAATGTATGTTTGTTACAGTAATTCTTTCGGAATAAGAGGGCGGCCCTTGACTTGATTCCCAACAGATTAATCTAATGATGGAATGAGAGGGCGGCCCTTTGTTGGCACTAGAGTTTTTGAGGGGATTATTAGGGATAATACCCACAGGGATTGGGTGAAACCCCTACTCCACCCAATCCCATCAAATCCTCATTTATCCCCAATCCACTAGGGAGGGGTAGTGTATTGAGTATTCAGAAAAATACATTAGAGTTAGGGGAATTCTAGGGAAAAGTGGGGATAAAATCGGCCAATACATTAGAGTTTGGGGAATTCTAGGGAAAAGTGGGGATAAAATCAGCCAATTGCACTAGAACCAAACGGGCTTTTATGGATAGGAGGGGTTTGAGTTTTTTTTAACACAGTAGAGGCGCAAGCCCTCATAAATACGCGCATACAATCACCTCTATAAACGTGGACATGGACATCCTATTTCTATGAGCACCTTGAAGACACTGAGCCGACGTATTATAAGACTTGAACCCTGATAGGGCTGGGGATACCAACTGTCCCTCTAACCAATCAACCACAGGTTGGTTCGCGGAGGGGATTTAAGTTTGACCAGGGTAATCCTTACCAATCCCTAAAAAAAATTACATTACTAAAGAAATATACGCTCTTATATTTCTTTATAAAGAGAGTATCAAACAAGGCCTGAGGGTGTGAACCAATTCATTCCCGATTTGTTGAACCATCTATTTAGTGCTTGGCTTTTCGAAAAGTTTTCTTGTTACTTGGGAAAAAAACTGGTGTTAGAGCATCTCCAACAGGGGCACAAACAAAAGTTTCGCACGCTAAAATAGTTTTAGCGCGCTACTGTAGCACTTTTAGCGCGCCGGAGTCAACATTGGTTTACCAGATGTCCAAAAACGTGCGCAAAAAAAAAACACCAGTGCAAATTATGAAGCGCGCGTAATCCGGTGCCCCAAATTTACAGCTTCTGATGGCATTTTTTAGCACGTGCCCAAACTTTTTTTTTGCACGTGCACTATTTTACAGCTTTTGCTAGAGCAGTCTAGCGCCCAAAAAATGCGAATTTTAGTGCGTGGAGCAGTTTTTGTGCACATGTTGAAGATGCTCTTAAGAGGGCAAATGTTTGCTAGCTAGGTCGTGTCTTTCAATAATCAGTGCCCAACTTTGGAGGCAATTATTTTAAACACACAGCTTCATAGGGATAATTAATCACTTTTACAGGTGAAAGATCATGGATGTCCCCTAGAGGGGGGGGGGGGGTTTGAATAGGCGCTTTAAAATAATTATGGTTTAGGCTTGAACACATGCGGAATAAACCAAGCGGTTAATTTGTCAAACACAAAACTTACAACAACCAGGCTCACCTATGTGCACCAACAACTTATACTAAGCAAGATAAACAACTATGTGATAGCAAGATGTATGACAAGAAACAATACGGCTATCACAAAGTAAAGTGCATAAGTAAAGGGCTTGGGTAAGAGATAACCGAGGCACGCGGAGACGACGATGTATCCCGAAGTTCACACCCTTGCGGATGCTAATCTCCGTTTGGAGCGGTGTGGAGGCACAATGCTCCCCAAGAAGCCACTAGGGCCACCGTAATCTCCTCACGCCCTCGCACAATGCAAGATGCTGTGATTCTACTAAGGGACCCTTGAGGGCGGTCACCGAACCCGTACAAATGGCAACTCTTGGGGGCGGTCACCGAATCCGTACACTTTGGCAACCCTTGGGGGCGGTCATCGGTACCCGTCAAATTGCTCGGGGCGATCTCCACAACCTAATTGGAGACCCCGACGCTTGCCCGGAGCTTTACACCACAATGATTGAACTCCGAACAACACCAACCGTCTAGGGTGCCAAGGCACCCAAGAGGAACAAGCTCTAGGGTGCCCAAACACCCAAGAGTAATAAGCTTCTCAAACATCACTTCCACGTATCACCGTGGAGAACTCAAACCGATGCATCAAATGCAATGGCAAGGGCACACAGAGTGCCCAATTCCTTCTCTCTCAAATCCCACCGAAGCAACTAATGCTAGGGAGGAAAATGAGAGGAAGAACAAGAAGGAGAACACCAAGAACTCCAAGATCTAGATCCAAGGGGTTCCCCTCACATAGAGGAGAAAGTGATTGGTGGAAATGTGGATCTAGATCTCCTCTCTCTTTTCCCTCAAAAACTAGCAAGAATCCATGGAGGGATTGAGAGTTAGCAAGCTCGAAGAAGGTCAAAAATGGGGGAAGAACACGAGCTCAAAGGATAAGGTTCATTGGGGAAGAAGGCCTGCTTTTATAGGTGGGGAAAAATCCAACCGTTATGCTCACAGCCCGCACAGAGCGGTACTACCGCTCCAAGGAGCGGTACTACCGCTAGGGCGGTAATACCCCTTTGAAAAACAACAACGAGGAGGCAAAAGGCCAGTAGAACCGCCGGAGCGGTACTACTGCTCGTCCTCACGGTACTGCCGCAGATGGTAGCGGTACTACTGCTTGCGAGCGGTACTAAAAAAATACATCCGGGCCTACCACCGCAAGACTTGGGACGAGTTTTTGGTCCGGAGCAGTACTACCGCTGTAGGAGCCGCGGTAGTACCGCTCTGGAGCGGTAGTAAAAAATT